GAATCTTCAAAGCCGATATAAACACGAACAGTTTTAACCTCCTTTAGTTAACTGTAATAATTATAGCCTATCATTACAAGAATCGTAATGCTAATACCGTTACAATAATCGGAAGTGTTAAATGCCATAGTCCAAATAGGTAACTTCTTTTCTGACTTAAATAAAAGAGTAGTTTACATTTGTTGTTTTAAACGCTATGTCAAGTTACACATTTTCACCAAAAGAATATTTAAGTGAAGATTATAACTATAAACAGGGGAAATTAAGAATGAAGTCGATTTCAATAAAAGGATTGAATTAACTACACAAAGGCAATTTTCAATTCATTAAGAGACTATCTTTTATTTGAAAGTTCAAAACAAATCCAACAGCCTTAAGCAAACTCATCCCGCTTTCACAGTGAGCACCAAAAGACAGTGCGACCGAGGATTTTATCTCAAATATCAAAGGCACTTTATGAAAACTGGAAAGTTATTATACACACGTTCTCCAATTTTTATGAATTTTCATTGCTGCGAATTTCATTAAAACATTTCTGGCAGATAAAAAATTTTTCATCTTTAGGCTATGAGAAATTTCTTACAGGGATAATTACTAACTTTTCTTTTCTTTTTTAAGTCTGGCATTAACTTTTTGTAATATTAATAATTACGAATTAACGATTAATGCAAGTTAGTTGATAAGCAGTATTCCAGTTTAATAATTTATTAATCTTGTTACAAAATTTAATTTTCAAACAATCAAAATTTAATTCGTTTTTACAGCTATAATAATTTTAGATATTTATAATTAAATACATCAAACGGTGAGGAGAAGTCTGTTATATTGGCAAAATATAGTGAAATATTCACTTTTAAAATTAAACTGACCAATTTTTCTGGTACTGAACATCAGTGATAGTCGTGAACGATCGTCTCCACAAAAGGCCAAAATCATGCGAAGTCCTGCAGAATCATCTATGAAGTTTCTACTACAACTCGCAATCATAACGAGTTTAAACTAGATGAAATATTCATTTAAATTCCAATTCCGGATGTATCAGTACCAGTACTTGTAATAATCGATGCTTCAGAGCTTGAGGATTTAATTCATTCTTCGGCAACTTCGGAATTCAAATTGACAAATAAAATGCAATAATCGTTCTAATTTCCAAAGATTCTAAAAATTATCCCAAACTAAAATTATTTTAAAAAAAAGTTAAAGATACGATGAAATAACTTAAGTACTTTTATTTTTAAGCAACCAATTCCTTAGAAATAGAATAACCAATAGTAAGCTCCAATATGTTATTAACTACCGAAAATAGCTCAACCGTCCCAAGAAGCAGAAACCAAAGTAACTCGCGATTATTTAACAGCTCTGTAAAGTTAATTGAATAATTGCCACTTTAAAATACAATAGCTAAAGGGCACAGAGAGCTTTTTCCCTACCATAGGGATTATTTGAGGCGTGAGAGGAAAGCGAAGTTAAATATTGTACCGTCCCCTAGAGGCTTAAGACGTCTCTAACGTTAATTACCGAAGCTCCAGTTGGGAATAATAAATTCTAATAATTTCAATATTCTGCATCCATAGCAACAGAGCTCAGCGCCAAGGACTGGAACTAAAGGGGACGTGCACATAATATTTCATTTAAAAATATGACGAGTATAAGCAGACAAAGCAGCAGTACTAATACTGTAATCAGGAAACAATTAAAAATGATGGTATTTTTTTTTTCCTTTCAGGGACATATCTGTTTTTATTTGAAAGATTAATTATACTCTAGAAATTTATTAGAAATGATATTCTTATCAAAAAGAGCATTTTAAATCACTAATGAAAAATTAAACTGGAAGCTTATTTTTTACTCAATTCAAATATATTTAAGACCACAGTCATATAAAAATATTTTATAAACTTGCACGCTAATTTACAAAGCGAAATATTTTATACCATCACGGTTTTCTTTACTAATTTACACCAACTGCATTATAACATGAAACATTTCTATTTCATCACACACGAACATCAGAAACTAAGCCCAAGATTTTGATCCTTCGTGGCACAAAAAGTTATACTTAAGGTTCTGGACGAATGCATAACCAGTAAGTGATGAGCCGTTAGACTGAGAGAAGGAGGAGGATTATCATGGGAAACTGTTAATATTGTTATATGCGGAATTATAATTTCTGAGCAAGCTTTCCGTGCATAATAATTATGGAAAAGAGGAGCCATTAGGGTTTTATTTTATTTTATTTTTTAAATCGAAAAACAGTCATTAGCTACTCAGAAAAATATAAAAGCTTGTTGAATACAGATAGTGTCTAGGAAATCATCAATATTCCATGTTTATTATGATGATGTACAAACCAACTTGGTAATTGGAGATTATTGGAACTGGAGTAATTTGGAGAACTGATCATAGTCTAAGGCAAACAACAAAGTATCTCAAGGTTTATCCAAAGCCAATGGCTTCGTTTATTTTGCTCGTATTAAACTAAAACTCTGCAACTAACTTTTTACACATTCATATTAAAATTTGATTAAACTGTCGTTAGTTTGTCGTTGTCGTTAGATACCTTGTAATTAGATCTCGTTTTCAATTCACATTGTTAGGACTCTTAAAAGAGGCGCTATTTCCGTTCAGCAGCCACTTCAAATTGATTAGTCCTCTTTCCCAAAGTTCAAGAGACGATAGCTTGAATGTTGTTATGTTCGTTATTTGTAAGTGTTCGGAAAACTTTTAAGCAACAACACACAAGAACGCATGCGGACACTTTATATTTAAATTACAATTTCCGAAGAACATAGTATATCGAAACACAAACGCAAGTATCCTTGTACTTTACCCAGCGCTTCGCTTATAAAATTAATCGACTTTCCTTTCAGGTTTCTATTAGCAGCCTAAAAAAACTATTCCTTGGAGCACTTTTTCATACGCAAAGAAAGTGAAAGAACACCTCAGAAAATGCTGTACAACTCTAAGCGCAATGTATATTCATGAGGTACTTGAACACAGAACGATCCATTGCCTCAATTAAGCAACAATACGGCCCCTTTAAAACGTGCTGCTTAGGAAAAGCGCCCAGTGTATTAAGCTTCTCAGAGCATCGCAGTGGGCATCTAAAATAATTACACAGCCAGCAGAGGAAGCTGGCGCTTTCAAATTCTTCGTTAATTACTCTTTGCACTCAGAGGAACGAAATTCATTAGGCAAAGTCATTTTCCATGCCTCTCCCTTTCATTCATCCCTCTGTTCCCTTCGCACTATTTCTCTATCTGAGTTTCATTAGAAACAATCTTATATGCCACCCTCCTCATCTCCCACCATATTCCCAGAAAAATTATGAAATGCCTTCCTTACGCAAAGGTTATTAAACTTCTTCTGAACACAATAACATAAAAAGTGACAGAGTTACATAGCGAATAATTGTTTATACCTCGGGAGTTTCATCAGGGTTGATTCTGCGGTATTTTATGCTAGCGTAGCAACATGGCTTCATAGCCAATATATTTCTTTTTACGCCTCAAAACATTTAAAATTACAAAATTCGAATTAAGTGTACAAAACTTTGAAAAGTTGTCACTGCATTTTTAATTCTATTTCAAGTTAAAAAGCACAACTGATAGTTACAAAGGTCAACATTCACCTGAAAGACAAAGCCCTGGTATGAGGTACTACAGCCATTAAATTTCTTTTATTCAGCAAGAAAAGAAATAAATTGCCTAAAAGGAAATTGCAAGAATGGTCTCGCTCAACATCTTATATATCAGCAGAAAGAATATCTTGTAAAATATCTTGTATCTTTGATCTCTCTTTATTAATAGAGGCGAAACTACGTTAATTAATACGGAAACGCGCTCAAGGACTACCTGACTTCGAACGAGTCATTTCTCCAGGGTTTTCTAATAGAATAGGGCTCATTTGCATGGGGATAAGGCATAGAACCAATAGTCTCTTTGCCGGTACACGATCGACAAGGCAAATCAAAAACTGGTTTCGAATTAGTGCCGCTGATTTAGTGACGGCGTTGATCCTCTGCAGGTACTCTAAAAAAAATACGAGTATTTTTAAGCAAATTCTTTCCCTCTTGATAGTGTTGTTGCCAATTATAATTCTTGCCCACATTATGCAATATCCATTGCATTCAACAGTCCTTGCTACAGTATGCGTCGATCCAATGCGGGTGTCGATTATACGCTCTGTCGGTCTTGTGCTATGTCGTTCCTACGCTGTTGGTTCGACCTACCAGTGTTGGTCGTATGCCTGAGACAAATCTATGAAGATGGAAAATATGTATTAATCTTATTACTCATTACTACATCATTATCAAATTTTCTTTTTATTGCGTCGATTGATAGTATATCGGTAAAAAGTGTCGGTTGTATGCCGGTGTGGATCGTGTGTCGCTGTTGGCCCTATGCCGGTGTCGGTTCTATGCCGTGCCGGTCTTCCGCAATGTCGATTTTATGAATGTTACAAGAGGAAAAACACGGAAACCCCCAAGCATCCAACCTGCTCCACTGGGATTCGAAGCGAGCATGAACTACCAATGTTTACCAGCCTTAAAACAATGGGTTAAGTTAGGTTATTCGAATGCGGTAAAGCACACGAGAACTATCTGCCTCAGGGGTTTATCCATGGTGGATATCCAAAATGGATGCCTATTTATTTTAAAAGATCCATTACTGAATTCACCAGGTAAGTGAAGCGGCTGTACATGGACTTAGTTTTAGTGCAAATAACGAAATAAGATTAGCAGTTGTAACACTAGCAATTCAATATTTGCAGTTCTAGCTATGAGAAAACATTTGTTTATTCTCATGAAAAGAAAGAACAAATATACTGAAATTCGTAATCACTATACACCTGCATTAGTACTTTATGTTTTAAAGAAAATGGGGAGATTGTACTATATTTACATATACAAACGGAGGGGAGGGAAGATGGTTTTCCTTGTTAATAATTTTGGTTGATTATGAAATACTTATGCATCTAATTCACGTTTCTCATTACAGTGGAACCTGGACTATCTTTCAATCTCGGGACCATCGGTGTGATGCTCAGATAGCAAAAGAAGAATAGAAACTCCTTTCGTCATCAAACATCAGGTACAATTAATTGATAACGAAGATAAATTTTTAGCATAATACATTATATAATCAGGATAAAAATCAATAGAGTTGAAAATGATTCCTCTTAAAGACCATTAGCTTGCCTACTGTTATACATACAATTACAATATACTACCATATTATGTCGAATTAAAGTCGCAATACGATTGTAAAATTAGAATACTGGAGAAAATTATCATTTATTTTGCCAGAATGCTTTAATATTCAATTTAACTTAAAATACTAAAATGTGGTACTGTAATTTTACTTATTGAAAGCGCCGAAATGTGAACTACATAAAAATGCAGCACACAGTCCTATGTAAAATGTCATTCTTTATTATATAAGATACTCTAAAATCAAAATAACAACAAGCGCTGAAGTGAAATACTTACAGCATCTAAATATTACATCTACTTTTTTGTTATCAAATGTTGTGAGTAAGCAATCTAACCCTCAGGTGATTTTTAATGGATTTTTTTTCCTTCTATAGCTTTATTTGACGAATCAATATTGTATTCTTTAAAACAACATTTGGAACTTTTATTGCAAATCTTTTGATAAAACAAGTATATTTTATTACACAATATTCAGTTATAATTTTCTCTGCTGTTGCCGTTATTTTTATTCTTTGTTTTCTGGTGGATTCTTCTAACTACCATATCAGTAGTTAACGGATAACATAGTTCCTTAATAGTAAATATCTGAGGCTAACTTTTAATACCTTAAAAGCTTCTCTTATATAATGAACATTTATCACAGTGTTTATTGTACATTAAAATAATCGTTTCCAAGACTAATTTATATAGTTCTACTTAAATTATTCTACATCATATTAATAATCAGTTTCAATTTAAACTTACACTTCCACAGATTGAAAAAATTATAATTAATATAAAGGGACTTACACAATTACTTCTGCGTTATGCTATTTTTTTATGCTTCTAATACCACTTTTAATAATATCTAAGTCTTCTATTAAATATCAAAATTAACTGAAGTGTGAATCATTATACTCTATTTACTCAAAAATTACATAGTTATATTTATTCTTAAAGTCGTATCTTGTATAATATCTGAAAGTTAAATGAAGTATTTTAAGTACTTAATCAGTTTTGGCCGTTAGTTTACACATTTTTCTTCCCATTTTCAAAATTCTTAGTATTTAAAGTATTTCTATAGTTTTCGATTTTTTCCTCTGTTACTAAATCAACGATAACATTCAACAGCAAATATGAACAAATGACCCTCATAACTTTCCAGAAATATCTGTTCTGTCGAATTCCATATATAAGAGGGTGTATAAGGGGGGGGGAAGAACGTTAAACTCTTATGAAACTATTTCTATTTATTTTTTAACAGGTTGAAAATTATTGATTCTCGGCACTTTAGACAATCCGGTTGCACTTTAAGCAAGACAGAAGCGTTATTCGCTTTAAAAATGGCAATAATCATGCCCCTCCCTGTGAAGTAAGAAGATCATCTGCCCAACCAACTATATACAGACACATCGCCAACCTAAGAAAAGCCTTGTGCCCTTTGTTGGAAACAAAAAGTATCTCAGTTTTCTAAAATCTGTATTCCTCTGTATTAAGTAAAAATCTCAGGCAGTATTTACGATCATAAACTGAATTTTTTATTTAAATTTTTATCTTGAGAAAAATACGAAGATTCTGAGAAGCCATATACTGAGATTGTGCCATGGACTGGATTCCTAAATTGGAGACTTCAGTAGCCCATCAGCCGCCAAGCGGTAAAGTCGCTGAATGCTACTAGTTCATATCGAGTTCAAATGCTGGTTTTATGGGAAGAGTTTTTGTGGTTTACCCTCTGTTTGACGCAGATACGAGCCACTTCCATTAAAAAATTTCTATACGAAGGCATTCCTCCCCCATATAGCCCTAGAGTTGCTTTGCCTTAATCAATTAAACTAACCTTCGGGACTCTGACAATCCCACAAAAGCTAAACCACAGTACGCCTGTTTATCAAATTATTTTCATTTAACGCATTATTGATATACATTACTCATGTTATAGCCTACAATGCATTGTGTTTCTTTTAGATAACGAATTAATTGGATGCCTGTTGTAAAGAAATGAGCAACTTGCAAGCCCTGCAGAGCATATAATTAATGACTATCCAGAAAATCCACGGATCTTAAATTTGCTTCAGATTTCCATCAACTATTGTATTCAGCATGTAAGTAAACTGACCAACTGACATGAGGTACATTATGTTTGAAATATTATTAATTTTCGGTTTTTAAAAGTTACTGCAGCTATTTTTATGTTACTCAATCCTTTTAATAATTTGTAAATCTGTTTACATCTTACTGTGAAAATCCATACTTTTATACTCACCAGCATCACAAATTATTTCAATTTTTTGGAGGGGAAATTAGTGTTTAACATTTGTTTTAAACATTAGTTCGAAGAAACATCAAACTTTTTCCCCTTTTAAATGCCGTATTATAGCTACTTCACTGGAACTTTAATAACAAATTACACCAAAGCATTTCCTATATTAGATTATTAAAATTTCACAGTCACGTTTCTTTCCTCTTTATAAGAACTAGTTTCTTTATAAAGTTATTAAAACAATCTAGAAACGCAAAAACACTAGACTGTAAATTTATAGTTTCTGGGAGAAACCTACTGAAGTATGCATGTGCATAATTATGAGGATACTGGTTTGCATACTAATATATGAAACTATACAGCAGTTTCATGTTTCTGAATCTAAGGCTACATTCGTCAGAATACAGAAGAGGGATGGTCTGCTTTTGCGACTTCGTAAAGTTCAAAACCCAAAGATGATGATCTAATCAAGCTACATATAAATTCTTACATAATCTGATCAAAATTAAAACATCGTAGCTTCGGAGAATCCAAAAGCGCTTCTACAAAATTTGACACTAGTCCTTTCTTTTTTCGCTTGTTTCAAGAAGCAAATTGCTTTTAGAAGTAAAACAGCAAACTATTTTGCTGTTCTTGAAGAAGGAAATTCTTATACAGAATAATTTGGACTTACAAGAAGAAAGAACAGTGTCAGACGCTTTCAGAAGAAATGCAAGTGTTCTCTAAAACTGATGCTTTTCTAGGACAAAAAACTAAATTTATTTCATTTTACAGTTACATGCTTCTTTCAAATATGCTCCTTTTTCCGCTGTGAAATTGCCAACCTAAACTACTCAAACTAAAATTAAAAATGAAAACATTGTTTTTATTGATATATAATCACATCTGCTCTAACATCAGAAAACTTTTTCCCCACAACGCTGATCAGATACATTTAAATATAAATCATATTAATATGAGTAAGTGAATTTTCATATAGATGAAACATTTAACTTATATCTTTATACTTACAGATACCCTTAAGAGGTTGAAAACATTTTGTATTCATGCTGTATAAAAGCTTGCTATTAATAGATGTGAATGTCGAGAAGTTAGTATTATAAAACTTTAAAACAGCGGAAAAATTTTCAGATATTTTTTTCACATATTTCCTCTTTTTTGACAACCTTAACGGATGACAGTGCTCCCGCGCTTCTGCGGATGTTGGGAGGGAGGATGCGGGAGGATGAGGATAAAGATGGGGGATGCGGATCAGAGGAGAAAAGTCCCCTCCCTACCCACAAATCATTGCGTCGGTCCCCGCTATCCTTGATTTATCTAGCAGATGCCAATGAGAACCTAAGTGTAGGATTTACAGTTAGGGGCATGCCGACAAGGCCAGAGACCAAGAAATGCTACGTTAAAGGAAGGGGGTTTGTTGGAGGAGGGGAAGGACCACCACTGCAAGCAAAGAGAGAGGGATAAGAGGAACTTTACTTTACTTCCAGATTGGCGGTTTTAATGCTTTTTATTGGCGACTGAAATTATGACAGGAAAAAGAGCAGTCCAACGTATTATGCGCACAGAATTTTTCAAGAAATGACTCATAGTAATACTCAACTATAAACCTTCTTACAATAAAACAAACGAAGGCGTACTGATCTGCAGAGTAATCCACATAAAAACTAATGACAAATTTGCGTGATAATCTGAAAAATTTAATTGCTGTTTCGACTATTTAAGCATTTCATATCAGACTCAAGATGCTTCATTAGCATTTTAAACGAAATACTTTTAAAACTGAGTCAGAACTCAGAAATTAAAGTTAATATTTAACCTAAGTGAGTAAACTTCTTTAACTAGCAGTTATTGAAACAAATTTTCCATGCTTATAACAATTTGTTTCTTGCTTATGTGAAAAGTAGAAACATTATATAGTCCAAAAATATGTAATATTAGACTAATTAGTACTAAATAAACGTATGAAACTCAAAACGTTTTACATTGAAACCTACCATAAAACAGGAACTATATATTGTCGCGGTTTTGTGGTAGGGTTTTGCGTTATTTTGTTAAGCATCTTCTTGCTATTCACCATGATCAATGCAAAAAAATTACATATAAACGAATCTGTATAAACGAATTTCTCTGTACATATTAGTTAACAAGTATCAGGACTACTTTTACGTTAACCTAGAATAACCTTCTTGCATAGCATAAAAATTCAGTTTCAGAAATAATCGAACCACAGCAATTCTGATTTAATGATCCATAGATCTATTCATCCTTTCCTTCCCTTTGCTCTCAGTAATGCTTATTAGCTCATTTTACTTGAATAAGCTTTTCCTATTAACTTTCAATTTCAAAATCCTTGCTCAAACATTGTTTATTGTCAAGCGACATTTAAGTAGCAACTATTACTATATTTTACACATTTAACCTTTTTCACACACATGCACACAGTTCTACTTAAGTTCTACTTCCATTAAAAGAATTATTTTCCACACAAATAAAAAGCAATATTTTTAATGTTTTTAGCTTAATTTATGACAAATAAATAGACAAATATTGTAATATATTTTTATGAACTGCATTTAAAGCAAATGCTTTTGATATTGACACATAACAAAATGAAAATGACTGAAAGTAAAAAATCAGCGAAGATCGGGGAACGAATGACGTGAGACATTTAACAAACGGAAACCTAAAATTAAATTATTTTTCGGGTGATTTTTTTAATTCCATAATAATAAATGTAATAAAACATGCAAATATCACAGTTTTCTAAAATATAATACCGAAAATTCCGCGAGGCACTGATTGAAAGATTAAAATCTAACATATCTGCAGAAATGACAAATATTAAGAACTATTTTATTCCGAAAGTAGTCATTTCGGTCAAAAATAACACATTCATATACATAATTGTAAGAACAAAAGTTTGGTAGAAAACTAATTTTTAATTTTTTAATCAAAATAATATCATGAAAGGGAATACAAAATTTAGATATGAAAAATTAAATGCGCATTTAATAACAAATTTGCACTTTTCAGGGGAAAAATTTTAATTCGCAGAAGTTCGAGGTTTACAAAAATATTAACGATAATACGAAAAAAAAAAAAAAAAAACACAATTCCGTCTGTATGCTCATAGTTTCCCAACGCGGACGTTATCCCTCACCTGACATCTTAGAGGGGTTGGGGGTAACGGGCAATAAGGAGGTATTGAGAAACAAGTAACGATAAGAACATGCCTGGGAAATTTGATTGCCAAATACTTACTTTCATATAATTATACATGTCACCCATATTTACAAGCAACATACCATATCATGCCGATCAACCTTTCACGTAATGTAGCATGTTACTCCACGTTGCACGTCGGTTCATGTCCAAGAGAAAAAAACTGTAAACTATCAGTCAAATATAAAAATCTATCCACAAAACTTGCAGTTCTACGTGGCTGGTAACCTAAAATCTAGTGCTGCAGAACAAGAAGGTACACAACAGTGCTCGTGCTGTACCGGGAATTTCTGTATGTTTTTTAAGGTTCATAATTATTAGTGCTTTAGGTGTATTACATTAATTTGATGCAGTGAAAAACGTAATAATTATTTACAAATATTTAAAAGTCGACGAATTATATCTAGAGAACATCTAATATATCAGTGCTACAAGAATAGAGCAGTGGGCAGAAAAGAGTTGGGAAATTACGATATAGTTTAACAAAAAGAGATGCTTTATTTCAACATATAACATTTAAACACGTCCTATTAATATAAAATGGGAACAATAACTTCCATTTTTTATTTATATCGCGCCTTCTCAAAAAATCTGAAGACGCAAACAAAAATATAGCAGCTGTTAAATACCTTTTGAAAGCATATTAATTTCATGTTACTTTTTAGCGCTTAATTTCTCTAGATATGCTCAGTTCTAATAAATGTGTGCCAAACTTCACTAGCCATGGTCAAATTCCAGATCAATTGGAATTTGACTAAGGCTAGAAATAGAAATATTTTAGGAGTGATGCATTTTTCATTGGTTACATGTCTGGAAGAATTTCGAAGAGATCTAATATGAAAAAGGGGAAAAATAAATAAAATATTGGAGCAACACAATTAAGAAAGAAATATTTTGGGAGAAAAGATCATTTGGTTTTGAAGAGTAAAAACTTAATTTCGAACTCATGGAAAAAGCAAAAACTTCGTAAGTTCTTTCCATGTGAAGACTTGGCGATTTATGAGCAGCTCCTTGGCGATAATCTTCAAGAAGTTGCAACCCGTAAGCGATAGCCGTACTCCGCGTTGTAGAGAGATGAACCGTTCTCATCGTTGATGCATGAGACTCTCATATTTTTTCTGCTCCAAAGGATTTCACAGAAATTTAATGTGTCAAAGAAATAAATGTGACTTCCCCGCTCACCTACATATATCTACTCTACGCTTATATATAGATAGATATATATAGATTTATATGAAGCATTATTATTCTTTATTTTTCGCTCTCACAAACTTCCATTGCTAAAATTTTGGATCCTAACGCAAGATCCAAAGGCGTTGAATGCGTTTTCCGAAAACATCGCATTTTTTTTAAAAGCTATATTTTTCGCCCCGCGAAATGAAGTCGGGTGATAATTTTTAATCTACCTTGGAGACTTCCTCGGAGATAACTTTGGGAAATAAACTTTGCTTTTCCTGGGGAAAGAAATAGAAATTTCCAGTGGCACTCTGGGAATGTTTAGGCTAACCTACACATATACTGCTTAAATTAGAAAACATACTCTACCACATTAATCTCATATTACTCTTGCGGCTTATATATGTCTCCTATAGAATATAAATGCATATTTTCTGAAAAGTTAAAATTTACTTAAGCCATTTTCGTGCTGCTTAAAATAGTCTAGTCTGATTTGTCAGAACTGATCGGATAAGACAGCGGTCCATTATCTTCGTTTTAGAACCTCTCTTATCTCCAAAACAGAACTGACAAACATTATTTCGTATTACTCTATTACACTTAGACTCATTTAATTATAATAGATGAAGTTCTAGCAACTGTGAAAAACTCAATTTTACGTTTGCATGATTATAACACTATTTGGACAGTTTTTAAAAACATCCGTAATATTTAATTTTTCCTTTCTTTAATAATTGAATCATAATCTAAATTGTTACTGGATTATGACTCGGATATTAAGCCTGAAACTTTAGAGCTTTCAGTTTCCTCCCCCCAACTAATGTTTAGAAACTAATGTCAGTTAGAAACTAATGTTTCTAACTGACACTAAGCCAATACCAGACGACCTGAAAAAGTATCGTTTTTCATCATAAGGATAAATAGCTTTCAAAAACTGGTTCCATATCGAAGTTGCAACTAGTACATATTTTAAGGTGATTTAACGCATGCTTCTACTACTTTAATTTTTAGAGTTTTCAGCGATTACATTGATTATGAAAGTTCATGGACATAATAATAAGTTTCAGACCTTATGGTTACTCATTTTAGCTATTTGTTATGCCTATGAATTTATTCATTGGGATTCATTTCGCTAAAACCATCCTTCCAAAGCTTTCCAAACCACATCATCAAAGAGGAGGTATTTTTGATACATCTTACTGTCTGAAAAATAAGATAATTTTTTGATTCTCTAAATAGAAATATTTTAGTTTTAAATATGAATCCATTTTGAAATCCTTAGCTTTATTTCACAGTTCTCTCAGAATTTTAATAAACTCCTTCAAATCTTAGACTAACGCTAGAGTATATTCTAGAAATTAAGCTGTTAAAACTACTCAGCGTTTTCATACTTTAAATATTACCAAATTCTGAAAATGCGAATTTCATAAAATAGTAATCTAGATCACCCACCTTTCTATTTTTTCATATTATAGTCATTTTTCCTTCTTTTTGAGTTTGTTTCAATCTATATATACACTTTAATATCATATCTCTCAACATAATACAAAAGAGCTAGATAAGATTTGTGGGAAATTTTCCGTAAGGATAGTATATGGTACCTAATTTTAAGCAAATGGCTTCTTAAATATAGTGGTCTGAATTTGGTAATACTTCTCACTTGCGTGGTAACATCCTTTACTATTAAACATATAAAATCGAGAACCGTAAACTAACTGTTGCGATATCGCCAAATTCCACATCAGTTGGGTTCTGCTTCATATTTATTATCAGAATTACAGCAACAGAAATGGAAGTGCAACGTCGACTAAAACTTTGACAGACCCTACTGATACTAGAATACTTATATTATAAACAAAGTTTAAATCACTGACCTGAGTAAGTTCAGAAACAACTCATAGTATATACGTATATATTGATGTACGTAAATTTTCAAATGACGATTTTAAAAATATACAAATCTGCCTTTACCTTACAGTTCGTATGATTGAATGGATCTCTATCAAATTTAAATTACGTTTCCAAAGGTCTGGTTGACTGCGCGAACTTCGGTAGAATCCTTACAATAAATTTAGAGCCTTGCCTTTCATTAAAGACGTAACTATTTTTTTCTGAATCTTATCAATTAACAATTCCCCCTTTTTTTACAGATCTGGAGAATTTACTGAAGCAGGAAGATCTTAATCACAGAAGAAACAAGACCAGAAGGAAAACAGCGTAAGCACATTGACCAAAGAAAAAGTAAAATTTCTTTTGGTTACAAGAAAGGTTTGACATAAAAGAAAATTTAACTATATAATTAAATGTTTTCTTATATGTTAAATTAAAATTAATATTTCAAACTCTGTAAATAAATTAATATTTCATTCATTTAGCATGAAAAAAATCCAAACAAATTATTATGTATTAAAAACTGTAGCCAGAGCAAAATAGTCGAAAAAAGTACAGATAAGACTAAAATTGAAACAGCTTTATAATTCTAAAATTAAAATCCAAAGCAATACTCTTCCCCTTTAACTCAGAAAAGAAAGAGTGAGCATTTTAAATCATAAAATGAGGAAGAATTACTTATTTTTTAAAAAAAAACAAAAAAAAGAAAGAAAACATGCATATGCATTATACGAGGGAGACTGGCGGATTTCTTCGAAATCCTTAGCATTTTTTTAATAAAACTAATGTCAATCTAAAGCTGACTTTTGTTTAAATTTAAATCGCACAGTAAATATTCAGCGGTTAATGATTGGTTTTTGAATTTAAATCCCACAGTAAGTGTTCAACAATTAAAATTCAAGCTATTACTTTTCAAAATAATAAAATTTCCTTAATTTATTCACAGGATCGCTAGTTTCACGCGGCCGATCGATGACAACATGTAATTTTTTACCTAATGGGCAAGCTAAGGAATTTGAAACTGTTTTCATAAAATTTTCAAATATCACATCGGTGTCAGGATTAAGACCAAAAGCCATTACATAGATACTCCCAAGAACACTAAGATTGCCTTGGGCTCTGCCTCTGGGGGGGGGGTTGAGATTACTGCGTAAACATGAAAATAACGCCTCTCTGACTGCATGCAAGATACGCATTTTCAGCCAGAAATATGACACAGACTCCTTTTCTCTTATTCGTTGTTCTTCAGCGCAAACCCTCTTATTTATTTACCCTACACAACTATTCAGGATGGAGAAAAAAAAGCATCACCTTCTAAGCGGCACAGAAGAGATATAAGGGTTCAAGTCCAAAGGCAAGACAGAAAGTTGGTTGAAGGCGGAATGAATGCCTAAGAGAATCGCATGTGTTCCCGGAAATTAAAGGGATCAATGAGGTATCATCTAATGGAGGCAATGAACGAAAGAGAACGAAGAAGATAAGGAAAAGTCTAAGAATGAAATGAAGGAAAGATGGAGCGAAGGAAAGCAATCGATGAGGTCGTAAATATGAGGGCGATCGGAAGCTTTCCCATTACGTGGATTGTTTTTCCTAGGGTTTCGGTCAAAATGAGTAGCATTAACTGCAACACGAGGAGGGAAGGAACGCAAGAAAACACTCCCCTGAACAAACTCGGTACTGGGGGTTGCGCGACAATTGCTTTGCTGTTAACGGCTGCACTACACATGGTTTGATCTCATGGTCTCCGTCTGAAATGACACATTTGTTTGCACTTAGGACCACAAGCACACTTTTCTTGTAATAATTCAAGGACTTCTCCCTCTCGGTAGTTTTGCTCACATTATTTCCAGCTATGCATTGTTTTCCTATTTCGACATTAAAGAAAGTTGCAGTAAATTATCTTTTTGAAAAATTAAAGCACTTGTGCGAGTATTTTTTTTAAGCACTAGTATGTACAAACTTAGGTGAGTACTTTGAAAGTAACTTTTAAACAAGCGTTCTAAAGAGGACTGTCTGACTTCAACTATAATTTATGTTCTTACTCGTAGTTTCAGTATCTTTGCTACCCATAATATATCAGCGCAAATCTTTCTCATTATCTAATAAGAACTTGCTCTTCGACAAGAACTTTATATTATACATGCACTATACATGCACTCTATATAACACTCTATCTATGTACTATACATGCACTCTAATATTCACCTACCAAAGCGGGTAAATGGTACTTTCTTGCAACTATTATTTGAATGTCAACTTGCAACTATTACTTGTCAACAACTCTCAAATCTTGACGTGACACATTTCTTCCGTACTGTGAAAGCCAAAAGGGGGGAGGGGGATAGAAATAAAACTGGGATACAAAATTATAACTGATTAGATGTTGATGGAAGATTCGAAGAAATATGTAATCTAAATTTTGAGGGGAGAAAAACAACTTAAAATTTACATTTAGGGAAATCAAGTGGACCGATTTGATATTTACCATCCTGTATCGAGGCTCCTACTATTTCTAAGCAACTGATACCATCTAAAGTATTTTAGCTAGGGATAACCGTTTTAGAAGAACTTGAAGGAGTGCAAACACGTTTACAATTTAAGCACGAGATAACAATGATTTTAAGGGTGTTTCATTGCTGTGCATTTCTTAATCCAATAATAGCACACATTAAAGCAAGTTATGTAAGCACAAAGATTCCACTTTCATATATCCATTCTTTTTCATACCCTATTGTGCATTTAGATACTATCTCAATGGAAATTTAATATTCGTAAAAAAATTACCAATGATTAATGCCTAAATTAATTAATTCATTTTGAAAGCGATCCATTTGATAGAATGATTGATTACTGAAAACATTAACAAATTTGTTCAATTTTCTAAATATTTAATGACATTTTTCCCTTTCAGAAATCAAACATCGATTATGGAGTAACTTTTGTTGGCCGTAACTCCATCGACGAACAAGAAAAGATATTTACGGCCCAGATCCCCAATAAGGTAAGCTCGGGAGATTCTGGGAAAGGAAGAAAAAAAAGAAAGATGGAAAAAGGGAGGGAAGGACTAAAGTTGGCGTTTTCTCTTTTGAACTACATTAGGCCGCCCAAGAATTGTGTTATTTTTTCCTACTCTATCCTTTCTGCTCTCGATTGGTAACATCGGCTGATGCATGACTCAAGAAAGAGACCTCGGTGGTCATATCTCGTGGTTCTCGCCGGTTTCTTTATCTTTTTTCAGTACAGAGGTGAAGTCACAATTCTTAGTTCTTTCCTTCAATTGACATTAGCGGAACATTCAGTTATCGTTGTTTATGCTCCGGAACGTGATCAATGACATGCGCAGTAACTTTACGTTATCCAAAAAAAATTTATATATAGGTTTACAAGAAAAACTTTCACGGCTGATGCAGAATTCACATGAAGGATACCACAGAATGCAATCGTAAGACATTTAATAAAAAAGAATTCATTCAAATATCAGGAAAATTTTATATAAGGAAGTAACCTTTGATCATCAGTCCACAGTATGCACGTGATTTCGAATGCTCATTTCATAAAAATATTAGCATGATACGCAAAAGTAATGGTTTAAATGACTCGCACAATAGCTGATATTTTTAGTATTCTATGAAAAAGGATCGACTGATTTAAATAATTTACTGCATAAGAATCAGAAATGTCAGGAAATTATAAGCTATTGTACATTTTCATTAACTTAACTTTAAACTTCAGCTTATGACAAAAAATTTTATTATATCACGAACTGCATCATTAGAATAAACCCTAGAAATTAAATTTTAAGTGTTGAAGCCTAATTTTAGATAATATCGCAAATGTGTATATAGGTGAAATTTTAAACAGAACTTTACATATTCGCTAAATTTAAGAAAGGCGCATGTGATATCAGACTACCAATGTTCTTGTTATTAAGAAAATTCATTAAATCAAATAAGAAAAACATATCCGAAATGTTAACACTAATAAATAAGTCGGAGTTACGTACGTGTACGAGCTTGATATGCAGTTACGAATTCTACAGTAAAGATAATTAGTTGCTTAAGCACCATATCTTGAGGCAGAAGTAAGTAAAAATATTTTTACTGTATGACTAAATTAAGTGAGAAATTATTATAACATATTTTTTATTTTTCTTCTTAACATTTTAATTAACATAAATTTATTTTTCTTCACGATAAAAAGCACATTTTTAAAGAACTGATTGCTAAAATAATGGATTTTCGTGTATACAGTATTAGATAACACCAAAATTGATACTGCAGGCAAATATATCTAAACACTGCATGTACCAAAAGTTCAGGAGGTGCAAAGCTTTTGACATATCATTTTATACATATTTTACAGTTACTTGACCTCCGATGACATTTCGGATTTAGCGTTGACCCTGAATGGGCAGGCTGAAACTAGAAGTCTTCTTGTTCACCTATCGAGACAGCCCAAAATGCCATGATTTTCAAAAAAGACCTCTTTCGGGAAAGCCTGAAATGAGTCATAACCTTAAAATTTAAACTCATACATTTCTCACGCAGAAATAAACACTGATTGTTTAAGATCTATCTGATAGCTTTTAAATTTTACTGAGATTTTTATTACCGTGTTTTGAATTTTACATCACAAATATGAGCTTGCTTGTTAAGTTATACATTCATTAAATTACATTTTAACAGCGTATTATAAAATATCTGATATTTCTTATAATTATTTTTCTTAGGATTAAGATCCAGATTATGTCAAAGGGTTTAGAGTGCACAGAGTAAATTATTTTATCCACTTATCCATGAACATTTATTACACAGTGGAGCTTCTCTTACCCTTCAAATAAGTTAACATTCCGGATATTCAAGTATTCTTATTGTAGAGACATTAGGTTATTTCGAAGCAGGAGACATGAAATTGCCCTCATAAATGAAATTCGAGAGGTCTGAGGACTCGAACCTCAGACCTCTCGAATATGAGAATTAGGGGACCCAGTCGCCAAATCTTGGTGGTGGAGAATCATCATCCGCCACCTTTTTTTTTAGTTCGGGCGCCACTGTAGAGACATTAGCATTATTTCGAAGCAAGAAACATGAAAAATGAACAATGCCCTCGCAATTGTTGAACAATGCCCTCGCAAATGAACAATGCACTCGAACCTCGGACCTCTCGAATACGCGCGGAGTGTGCTGACCATTACGCTACGAAAGCATGCTAAGAAGACGGAAGAAATACCTTATATTATATTATTTGGCCCTCTGTGCAATGCTGAAGAAAAGCGTTTGTTAAGGCGACATTACGGCATTTAATTCCCGTTAAAATTAACATAAATCAGTCTATCTTTCAACGAATTTTCTTTTGCTCAACACTTTTCCGAGAGCAGCAGGTGGTTGGCAATAATTTATAACTGATTCCGAATACAAGCAGTCTCTAAAAATTGATAACGATCTTGTTAATACGGTTATAATAAGCAAAGAAGAAATTTTAAGCACGGGCTTGGTTAGTGTGCAAGCACTTGTGAAAAGAAAATACGTAATCTTTCATAGCCTAAGGAAAATCCGAAAAACGAACTTGACATTTTGAGAAAGGTACGGATAAAATTCGGCAATTTTTTTTTTTGGGGGGGAGGGTACCTGCAATAAGAAAACACACAAACTGCTATCTTGCAAACGTCTTCCATCAGTGTTGAATCGCGATGTTATTTAATGGAAACAAAAATATTAAAACCTCTTTTATGAAAGTAAGAAATAATTAACAAATTACGTAGGATGTTTCCAAAGTCTTGACATGTTTATTCTGTGCAGAACTGTTTATTTCGATTCAGTTGTTTGACTGAAACAGGTGCATTTTTGAAACACTGTTTTTACAGCCATGGAAGATAGGAAACGAAGAGCAGTCAGTTTCTTTTTGAGGAAAGACAGTGTGAAAATTTCAGAAGTTGTTCAACGTCTGCAAGGAGTTTTCTGTTCCTGCATTTGAAAGAACATTCACGGGGTGTCCGATTTGAGAGTTAACCATGCCACAGATAAGTGAAATGAGAAGACACCGAAAACTTCTTCGAAGACGGCTTAAGAAAAGTAGCCTTTCTTTGGAATAAGTATACTTAATTAAATAGGGATCTTATTGAGAACCTGTATTGTAATATTGATGAAAATTACAGAAATAAAAAATATACCTAGATTTTAGAACTCTGGAAACATCCCACGTATATTTCTATTCTTTTGAAATTTAAAGCAAAGAATATTTTCGGCATATATCGCTTGCTCCACTATTTATCCAGATTTCACTGCATTTTAATTGTGCCAGTTAAAGATATTTCCCCTGTCAGCCATCGCAGCTCGTTTGAATATGTCGATGGATGAAATTTTAGCAGTATAAGCATTGCAGTTGAAATTGCTATTTTACTGCTTACCGGTTTAAAATTATTATTTAAGTTATGGATTCTTGTAACAAGAAAGTTTACATAAAAATATATTGAACTTACTCTTATCCTGTATCCTCTATTTTAGATTCTAAATATGTGATTGAGAAAAGCCGTACTTACAGAATAGCCTGAAATTGGCCAAGAGGAGGATTAACAGGACACATTAAAACTAAGTACTTACATTAACGGCTGTTTGTATCCTGCTAGGGAATTGTTATTATGGAGTAAGTACTTACTTATTTTATCAAAATATTACCTCTTTTTCACATATCTTGCATTTTAAAGTGGCTTACAGTTCTTAATTAGTTTTCATTATCCCGTGATAAGATAAAATTAGTGCAATTTCACTTAAAAAATATTGTATATTTTAACTTAAAATTAACAATATAACGAATGATTTGCTAAAGCGATCATGCTGTTATGGAATTTTATCCTCAACATAGTGAATATATCTGAATGCAGTTTTTGATAATTTAAATTATCTGTTTAAGTCGTTTTAGTTTAGGTTGGTTTTTCAGTTTTACAATCTAATGTCAGTAATGCAAAAAGTACTATCGCTGTTATGCTATTATTTTGAACTGGCAAAAAGAAAAACGACTTTGAAACACAAAAAAGTGAGCTTCATTATTTCAACTCATATTTTAAGAAAACTAATATAACTGTAAGGACAGTCTTTAATACCAGTCTATAATCTATGAAGAAAGGGGGGAAAATAAAATTAGAGCAAAAAATTTAATCTTTAAGAACTTTTTAATCGGTTCGAAAATACTGCAATTATATAGATAGATTTAAACAAGTTGTCTCAATTTATTGAATATAGTTTTGTTTGAAACATCGTTCCAATGAGGAAAGAAATTTACACATAGTTTTGATAGATTTTATAACCCCATCAAAAAAATGTCGATTTTGAAAAAAAAATAGGAGTTAGCAAAATTCTCCAATAATACTAAAAGTCTTAGAATTTGACATTTTTTTCTCATTTTCTTGAAGTAAATATTTACAGTTCCGATATTATTCCTGATAAAATACCATGCGTTTGTTTCTAGAGGGAAGAAGACAGATAAGTGAATATACCCGAAAACAGAATGAGTTTTGTCATTTTTTAAAAGCTTTTCTATATTTCAGAAAATCAGAATCACAAATCTGCTGCGCCCTCTGTTGGCGATTAAGGTAACCGCATGTTCATAAACACGAATTTTCGTGACGTAAGAAGAGAAGTACTTGTTTGGAAAATTATGGGCTTTACGGTAGAAACTTATTCTTCGTAAATCATTAACGAACAAACATTAGAGGTGTTAGTAAATATGGTTTCACGTGCGATATCTGATACTGAATTTTAAGCAGTCTAATGAAAATACTGGTTTAGAAATCACTCTTATACACTTATTTACGTTTTTAAAACTGATAAGCGTTGCAATGGCATACGTATAAATATTAAAAAATAGTAAAATTAAAATAAAATTAATAATACCATTAAAATAGTTAATGCTCTTATTAATAATTTTTTCAACGCCTAGAAATGTCTTGAAATTATCAAAGCAGCAAAATACGATAACAGTTTGAGGTTGATTTCCTATTAAAAGATAAACAAATTTTAAGGAACAAAAGTCAATTAAAACCAAGTCAAAACTTTTTTTTTATCCTAATGTTAAGTATGTCTAATGTCTTTTAACGGAATGTCAAATAAAAAATAACCCTTTTAGAATCAATTTCTTCTTCATACATGAATACAACTTTTCTGTGGTGTAGAGTGTATTCTCGTTTTATATAGTATTAGTTTGATGAAATCTTAAACTTCCTCTCATCTTTCTTCTTTTTAACTTAAGTGTAGTTTCTCATAATATAAAGCGAGTCACTTCTTTTTAATAGGATGGATCAATTAAAAAAAAAAATCCTATTGGGGTACCTATATATCTCAAAAACCAGGGATTTGCTAGGACATATGACCCATTGACAGTAAAAAGGTTAATAAGCAAATGATACAAAACAATTTTTAAAATAAAATTCATGGAATTAGGAATATAATAACATTTAATCTAGAATCGCAGAATTAACATAATTAAAAAAAATTCTAATTTAAAACTTAATCCGCATTTCCTTGGATCTGCCTTTAGGCAGATCCAAGGAAATGCCGGATAAAGTTTTAAAATATACACCACAGATTTTTTAAAATATACACATTCCACCGCATTCTTCGGTTCCCTTCCTTAGCTTTTTCATACTTGAAAGTACTGATTAGATAACTACTCGAAAGACAAAATTCGAGAAAATGATGCATTATGGGAGGATTTTGCATTGTGCACCAGATAATATTTAGTTACATGCCATGGAGGGGATGATCTATGAAAAATTTACAGAGATGTATATAAGAAAGAATACTAATGAATTCAGAAAACTGCATTGCACTTCTACCTTACATTTGTATTTATGAATATATAATATTAATCCTAGTTTTCAAGATGTAAGACATTTATCGTACTTTCCTCTGATCTTATAGCGTGAGCACTTGATACATAAAATAACGGAACATTTCTATTTTCTGCTTATTTTTCAAAGTATCCTTTTCGTTTAACGCAAAACTACCTTCTTTATCACGAAAAATATGATTTAGTAATTTTATAAACTGAAATTGGTTGAATGCTGTTCAAGACATACACTGTTTAAAAGCTTTCAAGTACTTCTGCCATTTTAACTTCGTGGAATTAAACACTGTCTGATAAGAGAAAAACAAGACAATTAGAATGTAATCTTCCACGCGGTAGCATTATATTGGATTGGTGGATACATTAAATTGCAATTTTACAGTAACCGACTGCAATCTTAAAATTATAACAAAGTACTTGGAAACAGCTTCATCAGTTTTCCCCAAACACTACAATTAAATACGTCTTCTCCAAATCCAAAAGAAAGTAAATTAATGTGTTGTAAAAGGCAAAGGGAGGAAAAAAACGTTCGGTTGACATGGATGGCGTTTTTTTCACTCGCTGCATTCGTCTTTTTTTATTTGTATGGCCTTTTCTGCACTTACTACATTATTTTTTTTTTATTTGCACGGTCTTTTCTTCATTTACTAATCTTTATTTATTTCTTTTTATTTTACGACCTCTTCTTCACTTATTATTATTTCTTTGTTTACTTAATACTTTTTTTTAATTTAATATCTTAAGTTGACGCAGAGAAACCGGATTAAAAAACAAATAGGTTGAATAAATTCAGATGTTTTCTTGAATTTTCTTGAATTTGAAGATCGTTTGGGACAGAAATATAACTTTCTGGTAAAAGACAGCTTTCCTAAATGTTTTTTCTTAAAATGTTTTCTTAAAAATGACGTTTCAGAACTTAATATTATTCAAATGCCAGAAATTACCATATCCTGAAAATATGACTTGCAAAGAAATTTTCAAATGTCTAATTAGTTTTAAAAATGATCTAATATATATCCAATAATTTAGAATATATATATATATATATATATATATATATATATTCTAAATTATTCTTTCTCAGTCAACACCTTATCAGCAGTAGAGTCAAACAATTAATTTGATTTATTATCCGTAAGTTTATTTATCTATACTTAAGTTCTTATTTAATTTGCACATATATTTTTCAATTTTCATTTTTAAAAATAAATGCTTCAGTGTAATTAATATTATATTATAAAGACTGTAGGAAACAAATACAAAAAACTTCCAGTATATGCAGTGAATTTAAGAATACAAATATCATACATTGATTTTTTTTGTTGTTTTGTTTTTGAATTTTGCTTAAACGATTCATAAATTTTTTTATGAATTATGGGGTTAACATTAAATATAGTTTTGATAATGAAAATGTGTACAGTGATTTCAATACGTGAAATTAAAGATTTAACCAGGCATCTGTCATCAGTCAGCACCCACATATGACTCAGCTATTTTCTACAACAAAACTAAGAATAAACATTTTAAAGTTCAGATACTCTTCCATATTTGCTTTTTCTTCTTCCCCCTCTCACCAGCTGAAAAATTTCAACTAAGCGAATATCTAATTTACTTAACAATCGCGTGCGATTGCAGTTTAATAATATATTGCACTATATATTTAAGAAGAAAAACGTACGGTGAATAGCGCAGAAATGATTGCAGCATTACTAATTAAAACCTTCTGATATTATTATTGTACTAAAATCAGATGCACTTAGAAGTCCTCCAAATTTACTTTAGAAATTATAAAAAAAGACTATGCACAAAGAAGAAGAATTTCATTTTAAATCATTACAGAAAGATTAAACCGATTTAACTCTCTTTTTTGCATCATGTAACAACAATGCGAAAGCACTGAAAGAGGAACAAAGGCATATAAAACGTAAAACTTTTAATAAGGGCTGAATTAGTAAGGGTAAAACATGTGAAATTCATTTACTTAAGTGGACAGAAGCTTTGCTGAAGGATTTAGATTAACCTCATAATAATACTAAGCAGACAACAGGACCTTTATTTTGGACTAATACTTCACAAGAATTTGAGGGAAAGGACTGCCCGATATCCCTTACTCCTTTAATAACGTAACTATTAAAAATCTTTGCATCAGAAATAATTTTGAATTTAAGTCCGTCACGCTTCACAAGAAAGGTTGATGAAACACGGTCTCTAGCATTTATCAGTTGGGCTACAAATGGTTCGAATCCCGCGAACAGGCTGGTTGCATGAGTGTTTTCGTGGTTCTTCCCATGTGTAACGTGTATATGAGCCAGTTTCATTTAGAAAGTCCTCGACGAAGGCATCCGTCTCCTTAGGCAGATAGCCCTCGAAGCTTTGTCGTAATTATTTAAACCAAACCAAACCAACCTTAAATACACAGTCGACACCCGCAGCTTGATTTCCACATGTCTTTTCGATTATTTCTCTATACTCATTCATACTGACAAAATAGCAACTTTCTCGAGTGCTTTTTCCTCTCTCGGTGACCATTAGACGACGCGGATAAACTGTTGACATTAATTATACATTAAAAAGCTGATTTTAATCACACCGTACAATTAATTCATTGATGTCGGCTACAGCATACAGATCTATGAAAAAGCACAATCAATTATTTCAAAACCGAATGTGTTTCATGTTTCTAGTAAAACTCACATAATGAAATTTGTTGCCAGAAATATTCACTTTCCTTAAAATCATAGCTAATAATAGGTCTAATGAATAAAATATCTTACTTATTTCCATTATAAGGAATAAAACCA